TCAGTCTGTCCAACTCTTTGCAACCCCATGGACTGGAGCCCATTATGCTCCTCTGTCTATCAGATTTTCCAAACAAGAATACTGGAGTGGGTTGCCATTTCCTCCACCACGGGATCTTTCCCCACCCAGGGATCAAACCAACCTCTCCTGCATCGGCATGTGGATTCTTTTACCACTGGCCATCTGGTAAGCTCAAAGACTTTTTAAAATCAGTCCACACCAAAATTTTTTTTAACAAAATAAATAAATCTGCTTAAACTCTGAGATTCTATGACAACTATGATTGTCAAAGGTTTAGGAACAAATACAACTGACATTTGTTATGCATTGAACAACATTTGTTACCCGAGGGAGCGGAATTGCACAGGACGTGAGAAGCCCATCGGCCTTTGGGTATCTCTCAGTGTGTCTTGTAGACGGCAAGGAGAGTGTCAACGAACCTATCAAGGCTGGCAAAGTGAACATCTTCTGTGACAGGAAGTGAAAGCAGAACCAGAGAAAGATCCGGAAGTCAGCGCGCCATTGCTGTCAGGCCACGGAAGCTGTAGGACGACTGAAGCCCCGAGTAAGAAGATACTGCGAGTCTGCAACAGCCAGAGCAGAGGGTGGGGCCATGTGCTCCTGTGACCACAGCAACAGAAGCAGAAGGACCGTGGGTCAGGGAGCCTTGTGCTCCTGCCACTAAGGTGGCTTCCTGTCACCTTCCCGCTCGGTGAGGCCCGATGGGGCTGCAGAGTGCCTGTCACACACGTGTTGCTGGGGTCCTGGGAGGTGACTCCCACTCCACCCCAGGCAGCTGCAATTCTTGTCCCCCTTATTTCCCTGTGTAACATCACAATGAGCTCCCCTTTACTTGAGATATTGGGTTAGTCTCTATTCTTCCCAAATCGGATAACTGAACCCTCTTTCCTACCCCCAGCAGGTGGCCCCTGAGGAATTATTCCACCACCACCGCGGGCACCTACCTGGAGTCCAGGACACCCACCAAAACTAGTTCCCTCTAGGAACTGCTAAGTAACTGTGGCCACATCCTCACTTTTGAGGTGACCTTCTTACAAGATGACATGAAAATCACCTCCCTTCTTCCAACAAGCAGAGTACAATAAAATCAATGCAGTATGATCTTTCTTAATTACAATCAAATCCCAGCCCTGTCTTCTTGAGGTTAACATCAGATCCCTTGATTAGAATTGGATTTTGAGTTTTCCTCAAATTCTTCAGTCACAGCCAAGTCTGAGGTGTACCATTTCAATAAGTGGCTGGCTCCAGCTGTGACAAATTGATTCTTTCTACTTCTCCCCAGCACTGAAACACATTCAAATCTTGTCTTTTTCAGTTTTCCACCTAAAATCCAAGATAAAAAATGTATTTTTCATGAAAACCTAGAACATACATATATAAATACATTGAAAATAAAACATTCACAATATCCTAAAGTTTTCTATTCTCTTTATTTTATTAAAATATTTGACTTGACCCAAAAATATTTATTATAATATTTTATGACCTGCAGTTTGAGAATTATTGGTGTAGTTTCTCCTTTCTTCAAAATTTCACTTCTCAAACACAGATCTTTCTTGGCTCCAGCAGTTTCTTGTCTTTAACAGTCAAACATCTCGGGAGAGGGTGGTCTGCTCTTCACTTCCTCAGCTCTCATTCACTCTTCAGTTGACAATGTTTTGTCTCTGAAAGTACCCCGGCCTGAAGCTGCCCTCAGGAGGTGTAACATCTTCCTTGACGATAAGCCCTAATTTCCCAGCTATTAGCTAACCTGTGTCCCCAGCATCCTCCCATGTGACTACCCATTCCCTCCCTGAAAGTTCTCTCTTGCTGTGGCTTCCTAAGGCCTTCTACCATTTCTGCCAGTTAGTATTTAAGAGTCACTTCCTCTGCTCCTCTATGCGTCTCCCCAAGGCCCTTCTCTTTTCTCACTTAATACACCATTCTTTTCTTTAAGGTTTTGTTTTTAGCTGTGCTGGGTCTCTGTTGCTTCACACAGGCTTTCTCTAATTGCAGCAAGTGGGGGCTACTCTTCCTTGCAGTGCACGGGTTTCTCACGGCAGTGGCTTCTCTTGTTGCTGAGCGCAGGTTCTAGGGCATGTTGCCCCACAGCACGTGGGATTTTCCCAGACCAGGGATCGAACCCAGGTCCCCTGCATAGGCAGGAGGATTCTTAACCACTGTGCCACCAAGGAAGCCCCAATACACTGTTCTTGAGTGGTTTCATTTTCCTCTCATATGCAACACCCGAGAGGCCCTTCTCAGTACAAACCCTTCCTTCTATCCAGTACAAACCCAGGCCACAGACTTTGATGTGACAGTTTCCAAACTGGAATTTTTGCTCACTTGAAAATCTAAACATTTGAAACTCCAAAGTTTTGGTCTGCTTTTCTGCAGTGATATTTCTCCTCTGATGTTATAAATACCACTGAATGAAAAGGAGAGAAGGCAAGGGGTATAAGGAATGTGTGTGAAGGGTGACAGTGGTGGGAACCTTGCAATATTTGCAGTAGATATTGTGGTTAATCCCCAGCATCCATTCCATATTAGATGATTAGCCCAAGTCAGTAAGTGGCTCCCCCTGGTGAATGTTACTGCTCCAGGAGCAGACATACCAATGATCCTTGCCAGACAGCTGGAAGGAAAGGACTTAAATCTCATACCTGGGAGAGAGGTTTTCTTTTTCCTTCACTGGATGTGAAAACAGAAGCATCACCCAGTAGCTGCTGGCACCCTGCTTTGGACCATGAAAAGAACCATCCCAAGGATGAACCTGCCCTCCAAAGAGGAAGGCTGAGCAGAACCATGGACAGAGCCTGGGTCCTTGACTTTATAGTAAGTACCCTACATACATACCAAGGAGTCCCATTCAGAGAGTGCATTTCTAAGTCTGATTTGTTCATAAGTCCAACAAAGTTAGCCTAGGCACCCAACTAAAACAATTGGCTGTATTGTATTGTAGTATAACAGGTTTCTAATATTTTTCATACAAATAATACATGAAAACACAAAAAATAAAGAAAACATTAAATCTTACAGTGCAATACCTTGAAAAGTACAGAGTACAGTACAACAGTTGGCCCATTCACATCTTTGAAAGTTCACAACTTGAAAGTTCATACATAGGGGAATTAACTATAGTGAGCTACTGAACCAGCCTCAGAGCCCACCTACCTATGGCTTCTGATTACGTGAGATACATGTTTAATTTCTTTTTCTTTTTTTTTTTTTTTAATTTTTATTAGTTGGAGGCTTCTTTTTCTTAAAAAATGGGGTTATTGTCACTTGTAGCCGAGAGCATCCTGATAGATTCAAGTCTCTCAAAGTATTCCATCACATTTGAACTCCAAACCTGTGGACTCAACTGCCTGCCAACCCTTTCCCTTGGCTGTTTCATAGCATCTCAGCCTCAATAAGTAAAAACTAATTTTGCTGTCTAGGGCCCCCTCATTCCCTGACACTAATCTTCCCTGTTTCTATGAAAGGTCCCACCATCTATCTGGTTGTTCCCTTTAAAACCTTGGATCACCTTTGCTATTTCCCTTTCTCTCACACTGAAAATCATCCCTTAGGGTGATAGTTCTCAAATTTATCCACCTCTTTGCCCACAATCATCTCTTGCATGTTTCACTGCAACAGCTTCTGAGTTGGTCTTCCATCTCCTTCTAACTCTTTCTGCACCCCACAGCCAGAGTGATCTTTCTAAAATACAGGTCTAAATACCTCACCCATTAAATCCTTTTCTTTCCTTTTTCCTTAGAATAAATTCTGAGGGCTTTAATATGTCATATAAGGCCCTCGGTGACTTGGCCCTCATCATCTTTCCAACCCCAACACCATTCCTTCCTTTCTAGCCTTCATTTCAGCAACATAGAACTACTTTTACTCTCCAAACTCCCTCTCTCTCATCTTCTGGCTGACGGATCTACCTAGAAAGTCCCCCTCCTCTTCCTGCTTCACCTGAATAACTCCTACTTGTTCTCTTGTGCTCATTGTGATGGCGCCTCCTTTGGGAAGTCATCCCTACCCCAAGACTGGATTATGTGCTCATCTTCATGTTCCCCCAACACCATCTCCTTATCCCAGTCATGCCACTCATCTCAGGGTTGAATTGTATGCTTATTTGTCTAGTCCCCCACCCAGACTGTGAGTTCCTTGGAAGCAGGGATTCTGGCTTACTCTCTGCACCTCGCACTATAATCGAGTGAGGAAAATCATTCTAAATTCAGAAGTGGATTTTGACCTCAAGATAAGGGTAGGATGGAATGGAGTGGACGATAGCATGTTAATAGATACTTCCAAACATGGGAAGGAGTGATGGTAGCAGAATCTGATCCGCTTGCTAAGTGCGTTGAACAGGTTCATGTGGGTGGCAGGGCCACGCCAGGGGAAAGGACTACTGAGGCAGAAAATGTAACCCAGGCAAGAGATGAGCATGGCCTGGACCAGTGGGGTGGCAGTGGGGACAGGGAGAACCAGACAAACTTGAAACAGCTATGAAGTAGAATTAACAGAATTGGAGGATGTGAAGAAAAGAAAGGGTATAAGATGAGGTGAGCTGTAATTTGGGCAATGGAGGTCCTAGTGGTATCTTCATCTATGATGGAGAATCCATAAGGAAGACCATGACTGCAGACAGTGGAGAGCAAGATGAGGGGCTCTGCTTTGGTTATTCAGGGTTGTAGATGGGGAATGGAAGTTGAGAAGGAATGGACAGAGAGGTAGGAGGAAAATCAGGAGGGTAGACAGGAGTCATAGATTTGAGATAGTGAGTCAGAGAAGAAATGACTTGAGGCAAGGGGAAAATAGTGCTGAGCCTCCTTTGCATGGATGCTCCCATGACACAAACACAACTGCACTGGGGAATTTTCTCTCTCTCTTTACGATTCCACGATTTTTTAAAAAAATGAAATATAACTAACTTACAGTATTATATTACATTCCAGTATATAACATAGTGATTCCATATATTTATACATTACAAAATAATCACCACTGAAGAGGGTTCCCTTGATAACAGTTTTATTTGATTTAAAAGTGAAACTCAGACCCTGACCCACCCACTAACCTTGGGGTTGTGGCAGGAATAGACTCGTCTTGGGGTTTGTCAGCTTCTTACCAGAATGAGAAATGGGGGAACATACAGACTTTTACCAGGACAAGAAATGGGGACCATAGAGACTCTTAGCAGGACTAGAAGTGGGGAACATATGGATCATGCCTATGTGGGCATGGAGAGTCAGGGACAGACCCAGCTACAGTGCTGGGTAGGGCTTGGCCACTGGCCAGGGAAGGGGTGACTGGCGCCATCCCCTGGACACATGCAGAGGGGAGAAGACTAATTCCAAACTGGTGTCAGGATTTGGCCTTAGAGGCCTGGGGCAGGGCAGAGAGCTCCGATCAGCTCAGTAGCTCTGAGGAGAAGACTTGTCCAGCTCACTGTGCTGCTCCTTCTGAGACTCTGTCACCACCTGCTGGGGGGTGAGGCATGTGAGGGGCACCCCCCACTCAGCACCACCTCCCTCTAGCTCCTTTGTGGCAAGGTGTACCCCCTCCCTCTCAACCAGTTGGGGCTCCCGTCTGAACATCCACCTCCATCTCCCTGTCTCACCCTCACCCCAAGAATCACTCACCCACAAACACTTGAAGATTACTTACACCAGGCTGGTGTCAGAAATACTATAGGAAATGATGGGGTCCTGGGCTCAAGAGGCCCATCTCACCTCCCCATCCCGGGTCTCAATGGTCCTGATCAGAACCATCTTCCGGCTGTGGGTTTCCTGGGGAGGCTCCACCTCAGGTACTGGAAAAGGCAGGATGAGAGGTTGAGGGGAGGAGTCTTGGGATATCCAAGCCCCTTTATCTCTTTGGGGTGGCAAAGAGTCAGACACGACTGAGCGACTGAACTGAACTGAATATCTCTTTGGGAGGAGACGGGTGGGGAGGGGCAGGGCCCGAGGATCAGGGGCAAGGACAGACTAAGACTCAGGCAAGAATCAGTTCCTGAGCAGAGCCATAGCAAGAGTCCAGTCAGGGTAGAAATGGACAAGGGGACAGACAGGTTGGAAGTCAGACGCGGAAGACTCACCAGTCGTCTTTATACTCAAGGATGCAAAGGAATGGATTGGCACGGAAATCCTGGGAACGAAACCTGTAGTCAGCTACTCGGCCTGGGGTTGGGGGGGGACCCTGGCCTTCCACCCGCCTCTCCTCCACCCCCACCCATCCCGACCACGCCCCACCCGCCCCTCACCGGCTCTCCTCGCCCTCCAGCAGCTTCCGGTAGGTGGCGATCTCGATGTCCAGGGCCATCTTGACGTTGAGAAGCTCCTGGTACTCTCGCAGGTGTCGCGCCATCTCCTCCTTGAGCTGCCGCAACTCCTCCTCAAGCCGCGCGGCGCCCGCCTGGTACCCGCCGGCCTCCAGGGCAAACTGCTCCTCCAGCTCCCGCAGCTGTCTGAGCAGCGCCTCATTCTGGGGAGGTGGGTGAAGAGGGGCTCAGTAGGGGGAACACAGCCTTCGTCCTCCACCCCCGGGGCCGGGGCGCGCAGCCGGGTCCTCACTGTGCCGCGAAGCCCGTCCACCTCGCACGTCAGGCTCTGGATCTGGCGTCGGGACTCATTCATCTCCTGCTTAGCCTGGCGCAGGGCCTCATGGTTCCGGTTGGCGGCGTCCGACAGGTCCGCGTACTGCGGCGAGGGTGGCAACTCGGGGGTGAGCGGGCCAGATGGGCCCTACCCCGCCAGCGCCCCACCCTCCCAGGCCCTCCCAAACCCCCCGGCGCCCCCGCACCTTGGACTTGTACCACTCTTCTGCCTCCTGCAGGTTCTTCGCCGCGATGCTCTCGTACTGGGCTCGGATGTCCCTCAGCGCCGCTGTCAGTTCGGGCTTCACGGTCGCCTCCACCTCGACGTGCTGCACTTGCTGGCTCTCCACGCTCAGCTGCAGGTCTCTCAGCTCCTGTCGCCCAGGGCAAGATGCCGAGTTCACCGCACAGATCCCAAGCGGGCCGCGCAGTAGGCGCGCAGAAAAGAGAAGAAACACTTGAATGAACAGAAGGGGGCGCCAGGGAGCGCAGGGCGCTTAGGCCTGCGCAGCTCGCGCCCCGCGGGTACTGTCATCGGCCAGGTTACAGGGATGCATCTCCGCTGCTCGCCACCAGGTGGCGCAGGGGTGTGAGTCTAACCACCTGTAGAGGGGGTGGAGGACGGGCGCACGTCTGCTCAGTGAATCTCATTTCTCTTCCAACGCTCCACCCGCCACTCTCTTCATGAGCTTGTCCCCCAGCTCCAAAGAGACCACCCTCAACCTCCGGAAGTTGCACCTAACACCTGGGTCCACCCACCTCCTCGTGCAGCTTCTTGAGGAACTCAATCTCATCCATCAGAGATTCAATCTTGCGCTCTAACTCCAGACGAGACAGGGTGGCGTCGTCCACGTCCTACAGGGGGTGGCAGTGGGGGTTCGAGAGCAGGGAGGGGTTGCTTAGGTCGAGGAAGAGCCTGGCCCTCCCCGTCTGTCTCTGAGGGCTTCTGGTCGCCTCCCTTTGCCCACAGATGCCACCCTGGATATGCAGGCAGTGGGTAGGCGTGGGGATGGGGAGACCGAGCTCACCTTACGGAAAAGCACGAGGTTGTGCTCCGCATCCTCCCTCTTCCGAGTCTCTTCCTCCAACCTGGTGGGAAGAGTGAGCAGAAACTGAGTTCCGGGGTCACCGCCCAGCCTGCAGACCGCGACCCCCAGGATCTGGGTCAGAGCTGCTACTGCAGTCTCTAGGGAGGGGTCTTCGGGCTACCTGATGGACTTGCCCCATGTTTTCTGTAAACGGCTGGAAGCTGGGGTGGAGCCCCTTTGTATACGGGGGAGACATAGTAACTCCCCCTCCCTCACCTCCCCTGAGACTCAGCAAAGTGGTGGTGGTGGGGGAGTGCCCGCCGGCGAGGGTGCTGCCTGCACATTCCCAGGCGGACGAGGCGAGGGGGCGGCTCCTCCCTCCCGGCGGCAGCCTCGACGGTCGCCGCCCAGCCCTGGCCCTGCCCTCTGACCTCTGCTTGAGCGCTGCCAGGTCCTCCGCCAGCCCGTCGCGCTCCACCTGCACCCGGTCGCGCTCCCGGCCCAGCAGCTCCAGCTCCCTCCTCAGCTCACGCAGCTCCTGCTGGCACAGTTGGTCGGCGCGGGCCGGCTCCTGGCCCCGGGCCTGGTTCAGCTCCCCACGCAGGGCCGCGTTCTGCTGCTCCAGGAAGCGCACCTTCTCGATGAAGTTGGCAAAACGGTCGTTGAGCTCCTGCAGCTCCTGCTTCTCGTTGCTGCGCGTGGCCAGGAACTCCTGGTTGAGCGCCTCGGCCATAGAGAAGTCGAGGCGCTCCGAGGGCAGGCGCAGGAGGGCGCCCGTGCCCGCCCGGGGACCGCGGAAGCTGCCCAGGCGCACGGAGGAGCCGGGGGACGCCGAACCCAGCAGGCGGCTGCTCGAGAAGCGGGAGCTGGACGAATAGGAGAAGGCCCCCGGGGACAGTGAGGGCGGTGGCCCGAAGGTGCGGCGGTAGGAGGTGGAACTGACGCTGGACCGGAGGCCCGACGGGTGGCTCATGGCGGCCGAGGATGGGCAGTCACCGCAGGCAGAGCTGGTCCGGGCGCGGGGAAGGAGCCGCCGACCGCTGCGAGGCGGATTTATAGGCCTGCGGGTTCGGGGGAGGGGGCTGGGCAGCTCCTCCCACTGGCCTGACAGTGGGGCTCTGTGGGGAGGGGGACGCCCCACCCCTGCGGAGCCGCGGGAGTGCTGCACGCTCCCTCCTGGTGCTGGCGCCCGGCCCACTTGATTCCCCCTGTTGCTGACGGGGAAGGAAGCAGGGATGGCGACCACAGGCCACAGACAGGCAGGGCGTTGAGGGCCAGTGACTTCTAGCAAGCATCCAGAGCTGGAGCCTAGGATGGGAGGGCCTGACTTGAACTGGGGTGTCCCTGGCTGAAAGAGCTGGTCACAGTAGGGGGAATAGGAAGCCTGGAGGTTAAAGGGCAGGATTCACATGAGCAAGGAGGAGGTGGCCCAGGTGATGGAGATTCGGCCTGGCTTAGGCCCCAGAGTCTGTGACTCCACATGTCCCCTGAAGGCTAGGCTTCACTTTCAACTGCTGTCAGCTCACCCCTCCGTCACCACACCCAGGGAGATCTGGGGGCCCGGAGCGCAGAGGCAGCCGTGGTGGGTGAGGGAGGGCTGCTCTCTCCATAATCCCCAGGGCTCTGGGCAGGGTTGCTGCCTGGCGCCAGCTCTGCCGCTAATGGACTGGCTTCTTCCCCTCCCCCTCCCCTGGACACTTGGCCAGGGGGTTGCCTGCTGATGTCTCACCCTTAAAGACACAGATCCCAAATCCACCCCAGGCCCCAACAAGGTGGGCATATCAGAGGGGGCGGAGGGTCCCAACTCTGGGTCCCACTCCAGACGACTGAGCCCTGCCCCTGCCGGAGGCCGAGCTCAGTGAGCCAGTGAGTGCTGTCTGTCTTTACTGTGTTCTCCCTCCCCCCAATCAACCGCTGCTCAGTCACGGCCTTACGGGAACCAGGGCCATTCCTGAGGTCGGAAGGGGAGGGGGCTGAGGGGCGGCAGCTGCTGCCAAGCCTGCGAGATGGACCATTTCCAGTATTAAGGAGCGGCAGGTACCCAGCAATGGGCGGGGCTGGATGGGTAGAGAAGAGGAAAGAGAAGGTGCCCATCCCCACCGGTTCAGAGATGAGGAGAAAAAGGCCCAGAACAGAGCTGCACGCTTGTGCACACAGATGCAGAAGCATAATAGCACCGTATACTTATGTGCACACAGGTTAGACACACACAACCACGCATCCCTTCATACCCTTCCCCACTGCACAATTAGTGGGGAGGCTGATGTCTGGCCTTTCCATGTCAAATGACTTCCAGAACGCAGGCACAGGCTGCTCAGGAGTGGGCAAACAGCGTGGGTGGTCTGCAGGAGCCGGGAGCTGAGGCCTGTTGGGCTTGCTGGGAGCTATGGGGCTGCTGCCGCCGGGGACTCCAGGGCTCTCCAGTAAGGACAGGTCTGTGTAAGACTGGCCCGGAGGACAAGAGCTGGGCGTCTGGGGAATCAGGTCTGGGACTCCGGGCTGGATCTCTGGACAAGGAGGGCTGTTGCCTGGCTGGCCATCTCCTCTGCACTGCAGGGCAGAGGAGCCTCCCCCCTTTGTATGGCCTCAGAGATGGGCCAACGCCCTCCCGCTCGCATCCCTGCCGCCTCTGGCTCCTCTCCAGGCCCCTCCTTCCTTCCGGCTATTAGTCTCTCTCTGCACTGCTGCCAGGTCCTTCTCCTTGATGAGTCTGGTTTGGTTGCCAGGGGAATGGGAAGAGGGAGGATGGGAGAGAGGGGATGGGATGGATGAACCAGGGCTGGTCTTGAAAGTGGGGAGGGGGTAGGGTCCGGCTTGGGCTAGGTCTGGGGGGCCTGATAAGAATGAGGAGGGGACTGGGGAAGCCGTGGTGCTTTCTGCTGCAGCCCTGCGCTCTGACCCCCAGCTGCCACTGGACCCCCATCCACTCCATCCTAGGCCCCGCCCTGCCCCTGTCTGCTGTCCCCGGAGCGGACTGGGAGTCTGAGCTGGTGCTTCTTGCAGAGGGGTAGGTCCTGGGGAGGACCAGCTCAGGCTTTACCTCTGTAGGGAACTGCTGGCAGACTCGGGGGCTGGCCTGAGGAGTCACGGGTGGGGTTCCCATCCCTCCCCTGCTTCAGCTCCCTGCTCACCACCCAGAAGCCTCAGAGTAAAGGGAAGCAGAGCCACCTCCGCAGGGCCTGGGAGCTGTCGGGCCAGGGTCTGACCTGGGTTTGGGAACCAGGCCTGCTGGCAACTCGAAGACTGCTCCCCCACACTCAGAAAGAGTGGGGCCTGGGAGGTCTGGGGACAGAAGAAAGGTAGAAAAGTGTCACGGCTAAGAACCAGGGCTCTAGTCCAGCTGCCACATTTGCCATCTGATTCCAACACTCTGCTGTACAAATATAGGGTCATTATTGTAATATGTCCTCTCATGAGCTCCAGCCAAAGGAGGATAATTGTGGCTTCCACCTTAGTGTTGTCAGGAGGGTTACATACATACATGTAAAATACTTAGGACGCATATAATAAAAGCTGAAATTTTAAGCTAATTTTACTACTACCAGTACTACAATTACAAATCTCTAGAGGGATATTGTCAGCCCCCAAATACAGTGAGGAAGGATCTGGACTTCCTTTGGATTGCCCCCACTAAGAGCAGTGGGGTGGGGAAAAGGGTGGCAGGAGCCCAGTACTTCCTGGCTGATGGAAGGAGGAAAGGGTAACTTCAGTGCCCTGGGCAAATGCGCACTGATTAAGACATGGACACTGGACAGACTGGCTGCATGCATTTGATCGTGGCTCCTCAACCTAATTAGCTGTATGCTTTGAGTTTGCTTGAGTGATTTAACCTCTGTTCACCCCATTTTCTTTATCCATCAGTGGGGATGATAATAATGGTACCGTAACCCCCTAGTGTTGGAAAAGTAAATGGATTCCAGTATGTGAAGCACTTAGTGCCTGGCACGTAATACATGCTGTACAAGAATTAGCCAGTGTTATTAATACCCCTCCTCCTTCTGCTGTCCTTGGCTGCTCTGGTGAAGACTCAACAGACAATTGGATGTATTCAGAGGTTTGCAAGGCAGGTATGCAATGAAGTTTAGGTTACTGGCAAGATAGCTGCTAAATGACAGGCCATGGACTCAAAGCTGGATGAGGAAGGGTGTGTAGGCAAGAGAAGGTGGGGTATTGGGAGAGTTAAGAGGTCCACAGCTAGATTTTCAGGTGAGATCAAAGAATAGTCACAGTATAAAGGGGTCGAAAGAGGCACTGAGAGTGTAGGATGCTGTTTTCAGAGAGCAGGATGCGTAAATTCGAGATTCTAGGCCTGGGACATTTATGGATAAGATTCCCAGGGTGTTGCTAAGGGAGTGGCCAGCTAAGGCTAAGGTGGAATGGAGGAAAAATCATGGAAGAAGAGATCAGGTCACCAAACCAGGCACTTACTCGCTGTGTGACCCTGGGCAAGTTACATGTCCTCTCTGAGCTTCCATTTTTTTTATCTGTAAAACAGGAATGATGATACCTTCTCGCAGAGGTGTCATGATATCTAATTGAGGTATTGTACATGAAGCAATTAACATGTCGTGAGGCTCATAATAAGTGCTCAACATTGTTGAATGCCTTTTCCCCTCCTACATGACAGACAGTAAACAGACACGCAGAAGCAATGACACAGCCCTCATTAGTTGTATCTAAGTGTCAGCTGGGGTCTCCCTGCCCCTCAAGGTCTAGGACTGACTCAACCTCCATTCCACATTCTGGGAAATTTCAGTTTTCTTCCCCCAGATCTCCTTGCTTTCCTGCTTTCTTCATCTTTACATCCCTAGATGCAAGGCCCTGTTGTCCCTGAATTGGCCGACTATACAACCAGCTCTCCACAGTGTCCCACATGTGGAACTTGGCACCATCCCTTGGTTCCTGTGATCCCCACCCCATCACTTAGGTAGGAACTGAGGCTCAAGGGGACAGAATTGCTGATCTGAGGTTGTATAGTGAGCTGATTATGGCTCCCTCTCCAGGAAGATACATCCTGGTTTTTCACGGCCTGCTGGTGTTCTGTGTTCTGGGCATGTAGAAGCGAGATGAGGCCCAGCCAGAAGGAGTCCAGCTCCATTCCAGGTGGGCTCTCCCAGGCTGGCCCAGCTTCAGGATCCCCACTGACAGAGTGGCTCCACCAAAGTGGAATCCTTTCCCCATGATCTCCATTTTGGAGCTCCACTCCTCCCAGTTAGGGAGCACCCTGGGTATCTTTTCCATCTCATCACTTCTCTCGCTGTTGTGGTTCAGTCGCTAAGTCGTGTCTGACTCTTTGTGACCCCATGGACTGCAGCAAGCCAGGCTTCCCTGTCCTTCACTATCTCCCAGAATTTGCTCAAACTCATGTTCATTGAGTCAGTGATGCCATCAAACCATCTCATCCTCTGCCAATCCCTTCTTCTCCTGCCCTCAGTCTTTCCCACCGCCAGAGTAATTTCCAGTGAGTCGGCTCTTCCCATCAGGTGGCCAAAGTATTGGAGCTTCAGCTTCAGCATCAGTCTTTCCAGTGAATGCTCAGGATAGATTTCTTTGGGGATTGACTGGTTTGATCTCCTTGCTGTCCAAGGGACTCTCAAGTCTTCTCAAGCCCACAATTCATTTCCTATGTGCTAAGCATTTTACACATTATCACTTTTAATCCTCACAGTAATGCTATGACATAAGTACTGACACTATTCCCATTTTACAGTTGAGGAAATTGAAGCATGGAGAAGTTAAGCATCTTGCCCAAGGTCACACAGCTACTGACAGTAAACGAATCATCCGTTTATATGTCTGACTCTCCTGCGCCCTGACAATACAATATTTGAGGGCAGCATTCACATCTCATTCACTTTCATATCCCTAGTGTCTAGTACAGGATCTAAGTCAAACAACTGTTCAACTGAAGGGAACCCAGAGGCGTCTGAAAAAAATTTTTCCCATGGTTGTGCAGTCTGGAAAATAGAGAGGTATGTTGCTGCCACCTGCTGGCAAGGTGCTAGAATGACATGTCTGCCGTCTGAACCATTCAGGTTTATT